CCCCATATAAATCTAATTGTAGAACTTACACGTAATTTTCTGTGCAGGTGTCTTTGCCTGAACTGAACGACTCCAAGTGGATCGCTTTGTGCATCTACAACGTGGTGGTGCTGGCCCCTATTAGCGTGGTGGTTGTTTTGGCAACCGACTCCAAACCGGAAGTGAACTACGCTTTAAGAGTAGCAATGCTGTTACTCATCACGTCTGTCACAGAGTGTCTCATTTTTGTTCCTAAGGTGAATAAACAGTTCGACCTCTCTCCTGTAGTTGCGAGTTGTTGGCTGGTGCTCTGGTGTGGTTTGCTCCTTCTTTCCTATCGAACACCCTATCGTCCTGATGTCTCCTCCTTCTTCTTTGTATTTGTTACTCTCTTGTAATACCTCTAATCTTCGACACTTATATGACCTTATTGTGTTGCAAGTACCATAAAATGCTCACACAAACTAAATTTCCATTGTTTGTTAAGCCTTTACTTCTGATTTTTAGCTTGGTGTCTTTCTTCTTTTTTAATGGAGGTGGGTTTTTTTTTTTAACCTCCTTCGACCCAATGTAGATAGTTTAGGAAGCTGACTGACCTTGCCAGTAATGCCTGCATATAAGTGATGTCTATTGTTACATATCGTCTCTTTCTCTTCTGTACTTTTTTCCATGCTTCTTCTTTGAGCCAACAACTGCGTAAGGCGTTCCGTGTTCGAAGAATCTTAATGCTCCTGGAAGGGTATTTAACTCATATAACAATAACATAAATCAAATACTGCAGAACATTTGTTATAAAATTCAACAGCAACCGTTAATACAGGCAAAATTCCTAATGTTTTTTCCTTTTAGCTTTACCTCTTTTTTCTCGGCTTTCAATTGTATAGTTTGTTTGTCTATCTCTCGTTTGACAAAGCTTTTTCATCTTCTTCAACCAGTCATGCTGCCCAGTTTTGAGATAAACATTTTTTTCTTCTCTCTCGTTCTAGATCATCTCTTACAGACGGTTCAACCGCACGAAAAGTCTCAAGTCTAACCCCAAGGAAAGAAGCTCTGACCACGTCCACAGGGTTTTGGGTGCGCCACCAACAATGACGGATTCAAGTTGCCCACCGACACTGTTACAAAATGACGGGCCGGCAGTCTCATTTTCAAGTCAGACACAATGTGTCACTAGTATCAGCAATTCTTCCAAAACGCCCTACTCTTTCGACACCCCCAGGAGCACAATCTATGAGACCAAAGAAGGAGCAATAAGTGAGATACCACTCCCACATCTTGAAGAATTTTCGGCTTCTTCTTGCGACCTTTCAAAGGTTAGCGGTATGGGCAGGTCCCTGTCAGACTCAAACCTGAGTTTCACACAGGGTGATCCGAAGATTTCAAATCTTCCTGGCGGTTCTAGAAGCACGGACGTTGAGATAAACATTGTTGATGGCGACTGTGAAACGCAGACAGGCGATAAAAACGTGAGCGAGCTAACCGCCAAAGTCAAGGACGATGTGGATTTCCAATCTAATGTAGGATTCAAGGCCAGTGAGCGGGAGAGGCGGACGGGTATGCCCAAAAAGAGCCAGTCCTAACGCAGCTGAGCCGACCGAGGGATGCGAAGAACATTAAGAGTTTTAACAGTACCAAGTGGTTGTACGCCACGCCGCTACCTTAGAATTACAAAATTCTTTCTGACCTTTCTGACCGTGTTCAGTTACTATGACGAATAGGTCAGTAGCATAATTATGTTCTATCTATTCTACCGAAATCTCTAGATTATTCGGAAACGTTATAATAATATTCAAAGATATGCACATTTCTCCAAACTAAGAACTGAGCTGGTAGAACTTTGTAATTCTAGGATAGCGCTGTACCAATACGCGGGCGTCACATTTTAAAGTGGCCTTCGATGCTCAAAATTTTTTTTATAGCATAATTCTGAGAAGCAACTTATGAATACCGGTGTCTGTGGTGTAGCGCTTATGGGCTTCACCGTCGCAGGCAGGAGACCCAAGTTCGTTTACCGTATGGGGATAACTTCTATCGAGTATCTCTATCTTTCTCTTGGGACGTTGTATCCTTCTCAGATGGGGTTGGGCTCGACAGGCAGGGTTGTGCTCGCCTGCAGGATGATCTAAACTGTCTTATAGCGTCTTATTGTCCGCCACGGGGTACGTTCCTACCGAGATATTTAAAGTGGTGATCTTTTGAAAGGACACTAGCTCATATAATAATCTCTCTCCGATCTTTGAAAATATTTTCTGTGTATTCTGAACTATAATTGTTAAAAACATTTCCTTTATCCATTGACATAACATTATTTGATATTACATATATTTGTGCTTCTGTATCCCCCCCCCCCTACTTCTTTGATTTTGAAGTGCATGTATTTGCAATTGTTATTTGGGTTGGTCTTATATCTTGACGCTGATCCTTTTCCCTCGTATATTTTGCTTTTTCATATTTTGGGGCATTTATGTACCTCTTTCATTAACATTGTTTTTAGTTGATGAGGGATTTTTGACGTCTGTGTTTGGACCATATTCAAATTGCATAAAATCCTTAGACCTTTTCCTTCTTTCCATTAACATCTGCAGTAAAATCTTTTGTAATACAACACATGAGGCCTATCGTTCCATACAACTCGCATCCTTTAACAGCCTGGACACATTAGTAAAAACTGACTTAATAGTTAATTATTTCTTATGAAATGTTACCACCATTTTGGAGAGAATTTAAGAGCTTTTTGTTTATTCCACTGCCGGTTTTTATCTATGACATGTATATTGATAGTGAGTTCAACTGGAATGTTATCATGCCATGTAGTTTTCTTTTGTATTATTCTCTGCTACTGCAATTTTTTTTACTTGTTCCTTATGATTTTTATTATTTTATTTACCTCTTCTTTTCTCGGCTTTCAATTGCCAGGAAGTCAGTCTCTCGTTAGATAAAGAACTGGCGGTTCATTTCGTTATTCCTTTCTTACCGATTTTTCTTGTGTATTATCTTTCAAAAGATGTCTCATATATTTTCTGCTAAAACATTCACTTCGTCCATTTAAATATCTCATTCTCTTGATCTTATACAGCCTTAATTTTAGCCTATTTTCCCCTCTTACTTCTTTAATTTGGAATCCTCTTTATGATATCTTTGTGTTGATTCACTTTTATTTACGGACACTGATAATTTATCCACGTTTCATTTGTTTTATTACATTTGAAAACAAAGATAATACGTATCTTTCTGTGCTTCATGTATCTTTCATTAGCATTGAGGTAAGAGTGGATGAATCATTTTAGACGCCTTGGGAGTTCTGTAAAAGTGTCGACAGCATGCGGGTAAGAAAAGTTGCTGTAGCAGAGAATAATACAAGGGAAAGCTACAGGCCATGATAATATTTCAGATGAACTCATTATCAAATGAAAACTTAAGGGAAATACATGACGAGAAACTGGCCGAAATTTTCACGGAAAATCCTACAGAGTACAGTAAAAGTGTGAACAGCATGCGTTTAAAGATAGAGCCATACGACCCGACATGCACCACAAAGGACAGAGATGAAAAGGCCACTCTCAGTCAGTTTAGTTAGAGTTTACCGGCGCTCGCAAATGCCGGCCATCCTCAGCAAGGATTCTATAAAGGAAGCATGGGGACATTACTTCCAACAACTTTTCAACCCAGAAGTTTGCCACAGACAATAAGAAGAATTCAAACCAGCACATGCAGGGCAAACAGAACCACCCATAATGTCCAGAGGAACTGGACAAGAACATAGCACCAGCAGGGACTGGTGACATCAAGGTAGAAGCCGTAAGAGCTTGTGGAAACACCGGTGAACTGTGGCTTAATCGAATGATTTTAACGAAGCTCTTCCTTTTCTCACCAAGACTTCGGTTTAGTTATGTTCCCCAAAGTTTGAAATCAATTCATTGAAATTATTTTCTCTGTTTCATTCTCTGAGATGCTCACCGAGTTTTATTTTTTTTTACCAAATTCCCAAATGACCCGCTTACATCTTTATATCTTCTATCCGAATATCTCTTACTTTTGCATTAAAATCTTGATGACTACAGTGGTTCCTCAAACATGTTTTGTAGCCAGTTTTAATTACTGGTAACATAGATTGCCAAATTAACAATACTATACTATAAAGTATAAGGTTGATAAAATTTGTGGACGATTCTCTCTTACTTTGGCACATTCGGGCTGACCATGACGAAACTTTTAGTAAAAAATATGTATCAAATTTCTCTGGGAGATATGAAACTCATAAGCTGCTTTGAAATGTGGAAAAAACGGCCAAGGAGCTTATTGTCGACTTAAGGTAAAAGATACACCCCCCCCCACCTTTACAGACGCTCCAAGTAAACATGAAAACGTCGAGCAATAGTCTGATCACAAAGTATTAAATTGCGAGTTTCCATTGACAATAAGCTCGACTGGCTTGTTCACACTTCTCTCTTGCTTAAAAAGTGAACAAAAGACTTTTTTTTCTGAGGACGTTCATGTATTTTAAAGGTGATAAATCGTTGGTGTGCATATTCGGTCATTCATTTATGAAAAGCAAGATCTATTTCTGCGTGACAACATGCGTCAGAAACACACGGCTTCAAGATAAAGTAAGACTGAATGGATTAATACTGAAAGCATGTAAGATTTCAACATTGAAATTCCCTCACTTAGACGAATTATACAATAGACCTATGGCTTGAACTAGGAAAACTAATTCCGTCTTTTTGGTCAACCAGCATGCCTCATCCTAAAATATTAATGTAATGTAAAAGACACGAGCTGAGTAACAAAGTAAGATGCAGAAGGTCATATTTACCATCACCCATTAAATATGTCTATGTGATATAAGTACTTCCATGATATTTAAAGCACACACATGTGTAGGACTACTATCAAATACCACAGGATTATTATTAGAATACTCATTATGTATTTGACTTAAACGTCATCATTGTTAACAATAATTGTAAATTTATGTCATATTATGTGTGTGGCTGTGGGTCTTTTTGAGAGTGCAAGCATACTATTATCATGTGTATATATATATAGATGTATGTGGAAGAGAGGATGTGTGACAGAGTAGTATACGTGTGTGGTCGATCGTGACTCTCTCTGGGTGTGTGTGTGTATGTGTGTGTGTGTGTGTG